CACACACACACACACACACACACACACACACACACACACACACACACACACACACACACAGGCATGCGTCCTTACTGACCTCGGAAAGGAGGCGCGTCTTCGTGACAAACAAGTGAAAGTTGCACGTTGTCTATAAATAAGATATACAGACAATCTAGGACCAATAGTACGCAATACGTGTACGCACAGAGAAATCTATTGTATCTGAGATCGATTGTAATCGGAAGATTGAATCCAATCACAAGGAAAAGGGTTGTTGTGCCTTAGATCTAATTGCTGTACGTCGCGACGCAGTTTCATTGATTGATTGACTTTTTACAGCTTATCAACCCATTGTGGGTTATTTCAAGGAGAACGTAATTTCAGAACGTTAGGATCTGATATTACTTACAGTGCAGGGTGTTACCAAACTGTCCCTATCTAAGTACTGTCAGGTATCGATACGGTCCAATTTCGATAATCGAACGAGAACTGGTGTTTTCAGTGTGGTTTGAATCTAAACCTCATTAATAGAAGATTACCATCTTTCCCTTGCATATTAAAACGAAATTAAGCAACGCGAAGCAAGGGGAATTTTCAACCCCCAATTCAAGCCTTTTTTATCTTCGGTGTTACACCCCTACTAACAACCATACAGGAAGTAACCAGCAATTTAATATTACCGAAATATAGAATAAACAGAACTGAAATGCTCTATATTTACTCCGCGAATGGCGTCACACAATCATTACTCCAATATTGCACCAACTTTGCTAAAAAATCTCCAATTTCTATATCCCATTCTCCTTAATCTCATCCACGATGTTTCATCTGCGTTTCTATCTTTGGTATTGTTATGCCCTTAGCGTAGTCGTTATCGCACGGTGTGCCGTGTTCAAATACCAGTCGAGTTTATTCACTTTCGCACAAATACACACGGTAAACATACGATTCCATCTCTTCTTCCCACCGGCTATGGGTTAAGTAACAAGACTGGATTGTTTAGCCTTAGCAGGCAACCAGTCTTGTAGAAAGATAACTTTGAATTCAAAACCGGTAAGGTGTAGGGGTGCCAGCTAAAATCCGCAAAAAAACATATGCTATAGAAACCACAGTAGCTGCATCTAATGTACTAAGACGGTACCCCTGTTATACAGAATGAAGTCGAACAGCAATAAGGAGGTTGATGGTGGAGGTGGAGCTTATTTAGATATCGAAAGAATTTTCTCGCTTCATTACGTGAAGAAATCGACGTAAACGTATCATCAACGTACCGAAAATAATAATAAGTTTTAGAAATTTTATCAAATAATTGTCTCTCATGAAAACCAACAAAGATGTTAGCAATAAGAGGGCTCAACGGACTACCCATTGCAACTCCATCTATCTGTAGGTACATACAATTTTTTAAGTTAAAGGAGACAGACTTGGCTGCCATCTCCATCAACGCAACAAAGACAACCACGGGAAACGACGGAGGATTTATGGGGCCACGATATAAAAAGTTGCCACAAATATCAATGGTTTCATCAAGTAGGACATTTGTAAACAAACTATATATCTCAAAAGACACGAAAAACCTTATTTAATGGAATTGTAACTGGGGTCAGAACACTGTGAAAGTGTAAAAATGCGTTTTAATACTAGAAATTCTTTGTAAAAGATTATTACCATCAATACATTTTTGAAAATCAAATGTTGCCAGCAATACATTTTTGAAAACCAAATGTTGCCAGCAATGCGTTTTTGAAAGGAAAACCTAAACAAACCTTACACAAAGTAATCCAATGAACCAAACAGGAAAACCATGATCACAAATACACATAAGATACTTCAATAGAACTGTAGATGAATAAATAAAAAAATCATTACCAGAAAGAAAAAATATTACCAGCAATACGTTTTTAGAAAAGATATGCCAGCTATACGTTTTTGGAAAAATACTATTACCAGCTATATATTTTGACGAAAGAAATATTGATAGAAATGGATTTCTAACAAAACAAAAATATTATCGAAAAAAAAAGTCAATTAAATGACTCGTTGAGGTTGATATGTCGTAAAACAAAACAAAACAAACAAAAAACACGAAGTACTCAGTGCCAATATTGGGCTACAATTTGGACATATATGCAACAAATTGGAAAGAGTCAGGAACACAATAGTCCGAATAGAAACATAATGGTGAATCGAGAACCTCAATCAACCACTTTACCACTTCATGCCGGGGAGAGCCCACCATGGACAACATAGGTCTAAGTGGAACTTCCACTTTAAACATTTTTGGTAACCCATGCATTCGTGGACGTTGGATTCCAACAGAACGAATATTGTTATACACACCTTTGGAAAGAAACATTTTCTTATGTAGTTTTAATAATCTTTTCTGTAAGTTCTAATAATGTTCGTCTTCAAGGTATTGTCACAGGTAGTAATCTCGCCTAGTTTCTGAAATTTATTTCTGTCGCCTAAAGTATACGACATTTTATTGACGTAATCAGAATAATTTAATATGACCACACCTGCGCCTTTGTCAGGTCTGGTAATATATATATACAGGTATAACTCGGGTTACGTCTTTTCGAGTTCAGTTGTTCTTGATTATACGTCGTTTGTCAAAAAAAATATATGGAAAAATAAAAAAAAATAAAAATCAATTTTAAGTCATTTTATTCGACTTTAATTCTGTCCGTCACAAATATTGAAGTCATAATATCGCTAGAAAAGCGTTAAAAGTACATAAAATCATGTTACTGTATAATAAATAAAAATAAAAGTATATAAAATCATATTAAAATACGTACATTTACAGTAAATGTTAATATAATCATCATAAATCCTAGAGAATGAAATATGAAAACATCTATGACTTTGTGTTGTCCTCTTAGCAGTCTTTAAGGCTATATCGTTATATCACTTATAAACTATTTTAATCAGAATACTGTACGCACATATCATAAATACGGTAACAGACAATGGGGAGTGCTTATTTGCGGTTTATAATGTGGTTATTTCGACTTAATTCATTTTTCGACCTGAGTTGTGACCTCTGGAAACTATTAACGACGTTGGTCTGTATATGTTAGTAATTTGGCCGTTTGATAATAGTGCTTCTGCCAAGAGAAAACAAGAAACTCAATAGGCGAATTAACGAAATTATGAGTTAAGTCTTTTAGACAAGCTTTAAGACCACTGAAATGCTCATCAGAATTAGCCAGATATTTTACTAATTGAGAAAATATCATTTCGAAATCGCTAAATACTTTGCTAAATAATTGTCTTCATTTTTGTAGGGGAATACAAAAATCCAAACCTCGGGACAAAATCAACTTATCAGAATCAGATAAGTAATAATTATTAGGTTGGAGCAAAAATAATGACGTAAGAATGTCGTTTTTTGACGTTACCTTTCGAGAGACATTGAGAAAAATGGATTTCATGCAGGAAAAGGTAATTTACGTCAGTCAATGGCCTAAAGTGACAGATACTAGGTTCTAATAGAGTTGAGTACGTTGGAAAAGTACAGAATTTCATCTCAAAAGAAAGCTCACATAATACTACTAATATTACGGCACTTAATCCTCAAGATACACCGAACAATGTAGCCAGGGATGGCATAATTAATGAGTAGGACGAGTATGAGAAAATCATTATCTTGAAAACATTCATACAATTTAAAATATTTTCTGGTTTTAAATATTCTGCAAATGGTTGATACACCGTAAAAAAACAAATCAATCAGTCAACACACACACACATACACACACACACATACACATACATATACATAGATAGATAGATTGATCGATAGATAATTTCAAATCCGTAAGTGGAAAGGATAATTCAAGTGGTTCTTTTTATTATAAAATATTAAAAATATTGATCTGTAGATTGTTCTCTGTAGAGAATACAGAGCAATATGATATACGTCAAGGAAAAGCTTAACACTTCACGAAAATACGGTAATAAATCATGATTTATTTCGACCAGTAACTCTCATCAGACCAAAGATATATAAATATATCTTTATGTATTTATATATTTTCGGTTTGACGAGACTTACTGGACGAAATAAATCATGATTTATTAACGTGAAGTGTTAAGCATTTATTTGATGTGTGCTTGCTTATATATATATATATATATATATATATATATATATATATATATATATGTGTGTGTGTGTGTGTGTGTGTGTGTGTGTGTGTGTGTGTGTGTGTGTGTGTTTTTATAATTACAAGCATTTTATGGGCTCCGGGGAGTGCTTTGTGATCCTCGCTATCTTATCAACATTTGCTTTGCTTTTTTTCTACATGCCTTTATATACGTTACAAATTAAACTAAGCAAAAGTGACTATAAAGGATGAAAAATTTTCGCGCATTTTGACGTCATCCGTGGTCTTTTCTTTTTCGTCTAAATCCATGAATTTTTTATGCTTATGGTAAGTCTCGAAAAAACATTATATAATATTCACAATATTTTTTTTATCGTTAATGTGGAAAATGTTAAAATTCTACAACATTTTATCAAGAAAATTCTCAGGTTGCTGTTAGAAATTGCTGCAAAACTTTGCTGATTCATTTATGATGATTAATTTATTATAACAGGTCTCTAATTTGTATTTAGATACAGTGTAATTATTTTTAATTTTTCTAGTTTCATGATAGATTATTGTACATAATTATGTTACAATAAAACGTGTATCTTATATGAATGCTACGTCATGAAATGTGACAAGTAGAATGATGGGGGGGGTGGGTATCATAGATTAGGGTGTGGGTGACAAGACGCTTGCATTAACCCTGCTAATCAGTACACATGTTTGTGTTGCTATTACTGTTCTTAAAAACTGTAATTTATGTTATTGTTTAATTAAATTAAATGATTTTTAATATTAAAATATGAAATTAATATCACTGTCAAAGAATATAGAAAAATCGGGGATTTCTATCTTTTAAAAATAACATTTATAATATATAATAAATAATGGGTTCTACTATAGCGTGATGCCTACCTCAATATGTCGTCTACCCAAGTACAGCGCGGAGGTTTAACGTGCCCCTCCCCTCAGGTGGCCGTCAGGTCAGTTGTTGGTATTCAGTTGTTCCAGTCACATCTTGATCATTTTTACTAGAAGACGATGAGAAAAACTCCTATGATCTATTCTTGTCACTCCTAGAAGATATGCGAAGTGTTTTCCCCTAAATAAATGCATGTATTGTAGTTGATAGCGTGTTTATCTTTATCTCTCTGCCTTTAATATAAAAAATAAATAGTATATATATATATATATATATATATATATATATATATATATATATATATATACTATTTATATTGTGTTGATATATATATATATATATATATATATATATATATATATATATATATATATAAGGTTAAAATAAATATCTATTCACAATACAATATTATATTATAGTTCGATGCTGCGGTAGACCTCACGCTATAGAAGAAACGGGGAGATAGACCTCACCTCACGCTATATACAAAGTGGGGGAGATAGACCTCACGCTATAGACGAAACGGGGGGAGGTTGACCTCATGCTATAGGCGAAACGGGAGTTAGACCTCACGCTATAAAAGAAACGTGGGAGGTAGACCTCACCTCACGCTATATACAAAGCGGGGGAGATAGACCTCACGCTATAGACGAAACGGGGGGAGGTAGACCTCACGCTATAGACGAAATGAGGGGAGGTAGACCTCACGCTATAGTAGCACCAAATAATATCCGGTTTTTAAAATATTCGCTTAAAATTACGATATAGATTTTTTTGCCAATTTGTGTTTTTATCGTTTTCTTAGGAGGCCTTCTTTGTATATTCAATCTGAAAGTTTGAAGTTATTGTTTTTCATTAAAAGAGATCTGAGAAAATTGTAATGTCAAAATTGATAAGCAAAAGTGAAAAGTTCAAATGAGGAAATGGGGAAGAGACGAATAAGATTATTTTAGTGGATAAGAAAAATTCCTTCGACTTACTAAGCCTTTCCCATTTTTCACACCTACTCAACATATCTCAGTAGTCCACTCCTGAAATACGATACATTCCTATGAAACACGATACACATCGATTGATAGAAAACAGTAACTTATGAAGATAATTTATCCGAACTTAAATATCTATTACTTTTTGCAAGTTGCTTTTTATTAATTCACTCTTAAGGCATTTTGTAAATATCTCTATTGACAAAAAGACAATGGCCAAATAATCCTGTAAATTTTATAATCTTAACAATTTTGTTTTTCGCCAAAGGTTTAGCAAAAACTACCCAGAAAGAAAAATTTGTTTAGTTATCAATTCTAGTATCTGTCTATATTTCTGAGATGAGCTATTATGTACACTATTTACATTATTCGGACTATTGTCCTCATTTTTGTCGCCATATTTATTACAACGTTTCGGCCTTTCAGTATCTGTCTATATTTCTGAGATGAGGTATTATGTACACTATTTACATTATTCGGACTATTGTCCTCATTTTTGTCGCCATATTTATTACAACGTTTCGGCCTTTCAGTATCTGTCTATATTTCTGAGATGAGGTATTATGTACACTATTTACATTATTCGGATTATTGTCCTCAACTTTGTCGCCATATTTATTACAACGTTTCGGCCTTTCAGTATCTGTATATATTTCTGAGATGTGGTATTATGTACACTATTTACATTATTCGGACTATTGTCCCCATTTTTTGTCGCCATATTTATTACAACGTTTCGGCCTTTCAGTATCTGTCTATATTTCTGAGATGAGGTATTATGTACACTATTTACATTATTCGGATTATTGTCCTCAACTTTGTCGCCATATTTATTACAACGTTTCGGCCTTTCAGTATCTGTATATATTTCTGAGATGTGGTATTATGTACACTATTTACATTATTCGGACTATTGTCCTCATTTTTGTCGCCATATTTATTACAACGTTTCGGCCTTTCAGTATCTGTCTATATTTCTGAGATGAGGTATTATGTACACTTTTACATTATTCGGATTATTGTCCTCAACTTTGTCGCCATATTTATTACAACGTTTCGGCCTTTCAGTATCTGTATATATTTCTGAGATGTATTATGTACACTTATTTACATTATTCGGACTATTGTCCTCATTTTTGTCGCCATATTTATTACAACGTTTCGGCCTTTCAGTATCTGTCTATATTTCTGAGATGAGGTATTATGTACACTATTTACATTATTCGGATTATTGTCCTCAACTTTGTCGCCATATTTATTACAACGTTTCGGCCTTTCAGTATCTGTATATATTTCTGAGATGTGGTATTATGTTTCACTATTTACATTATTCGGACTATTGTCCTCATTTTTGTCGCCATATTTATTACAACGTTTCGGCCTTTCAGTATCTGTCTATATTTCTGAGATGAGGTATTATGTACACTATTTACATTATTCGGACTATTGTCCCCATTTTTGTCGCCATATTTATTACAACGTTTCGGCCTTTCAGTATCTGTCTATATTTCTGAGATGAGGTATTATGTACACTATTTACATTATTCGGATTATTGTCCTCAACTTTGTCGCCATATTTATTACAACGTTTCGGCCTTTCAGTATCTGTCTATATTTTTGAGATGATGTATTATGTACACTATTTACATTATTCGGACTATTGTCCTCAACTTTGTCGCCATATTTATTACAACGTTTCGGCCGTTGTACGCTCCGGCCTTCTTCAGTTGGTTGGAATGTCGTATTGAACCCTTTATTTCGCTCACTGGGGTAGAGTGTTCTAGTTCCACGTGCCATATTTAATGGATGTCAGTTATCAAATAACCCCTGTTAATTCTCCTCTCCAGGTTCTCCACTGCCATAACCGGGTATTGAACTCACACTCTTCGGGTCCTGTGACTGGATCTAGCTAACGGCTTTACCACTGTGCCATGTCAAGTGTGATTTCAATTTGTAGGAAAACGCCATGAAACACGCATACACATACATACGAACATTCACCAAAATACAAACTATCTACGTTCACACACAAACACAAATGTTAATGTCTATATCCATTGTAAAATAGTGTCGTTTAATACATATATTTGTTGATATATATATCGGTCTTCTTTGTTTTCTTTGCATCATCGGTTGGACTTAACATGAGTCCGCCATATTCTTGTAGTGGATCTTTTAATATTCTATCAGGAGTTACACACGTGTTCCTAATTTAACAACACGTACCCCCCTGTCCGCTACAACCACTTCAAGATCCTTGAAATTTGAAAATGATCCTTGTATTTCGAAATTTAGAACTGCAAAGATGCATTACGATCTACAGCTATTGCCATGTCAACGAGAAAAACATATTTTAGAGTTGTGAATATTAATTTTTAGATTAAACATAAAGGGAGATTAACTGTTATTTTAAAAAAGCAAACAATTTACATTAAAAAATAATCTGGATCAACGTATTTAAGCATATATTTATTTTTATGCGTACACTTACACATCAATACATTTTTCTTGTTTAATAAACTAGGGATATTTAAGTGTTTTATGATTACTAGTTTTTCAAAAAGACAAATTACTTTATTGCCGTTCCCTTTGTAGGATTTGGCTCTTGCTACAATATCCCATGTGATGCTATGTTTATTACTACCATTCTTTAATTGCCAGAAATATTTAGAGAGAGAACTGGTGTTTTATTATTTTATATTGCCTAAAGTCATGCGATTATGGTAGAAACGAAATTTCCAAGGATTTTCAGTAGAACCAAGATAAAATTTGATAATTTGTTACCGGAATGTATGCTCGCTCGGTATACAATATTGTCAGACAAACATTGACCGTTTAAGAGACAGATCATATTTTTTGGCAGTTGCATATATTTTTTTAAATTAGCGTTGTCTTTGTTGGAAATAAATTTATTTAACATAATGTTGTTATGTTGGGATATAGATTTGTCGATGTTATTAGCTATAGTTGATCTTAACTTTATTTTTATTAAATACTTTTTATATTCGTGAATGGTTAAAGTATTTATGAATTAACTTTAGGAAAATTATCCTCATATTCGTCTGAACATTACGATTAAAAGGTGGATTAAACCATCAAGAATTGTTTTTCTCTAAATATTTCTTTTTCCTTTATCAATATCACTGGTAACTTTCTTTATAGCGATGACTGAGGACTAATGAAGAGAAAAAAGGCACTGTACCATAAAATTGGAAAAGAAAAGCACAACAACACACGAATGTATAAAACATGGCGGTCGACTAAGAAATGATTCCGTTCGGGTTAACTCGTTTCGGCTCGGTTTGGCAATGTTGTCCGAAAAGGGAAATTTTCTTCGATAACCGAGGCATTTTCATTTGGAATTTTCTGTTGGAAAACCGATTTGTTCGACATGTGAGGAGTTCGAGAACTGAAGTTGCACTGTATTTAATTTTATTATTATGAAATAATTCCTTATTACTGGTGTTTTTAGATAATCTGACTTGGACTGATTTATGTGAATTATCAATTTGTGCTATAATACGTGTCCATAAAGTCCGTGTGCATTTTAAAATAATTTATAACTTTATTTGTATTTGCGATAGAAATAATTTGTAAAAAGGATTAGAAAGAAGTAAATCTATATTTTTTAATGTTTTATTGAAATTTTATTTAAGTTTCTAAATGTTCCCCATCATTAGCAATACAAAGGGTAAGACGAATTTGTAGTTCACGGAAAACATTTGCCAACTGATTTACAGTAATGCCTGAAATCACATTAGTTATTTTAGCTATACTTAAAACTAGATACATTAAACTTTATAACATTGTTTACAAATTATTTCTATCGCAAATACAAATAAAGTTATACATTTTTTAATGTGCACACGAACTTTATGGGCACCCTACACACACACACACACAGACACACACACAGACACACACACACACACACACACATATATATATATATATATATATATATATATATATATATATAGATAGATAGATAGATAGATGTATATATGTATGTGTGTGTTGACTTCAGGAACCATCTAACCAAAATTATAATTAATTATATTGTGCATACCGCTACCTAAACCTCTCTCACCATAGGTCTATTAGGACGTTTTCCAACCTACACTGAATCCTACCAAACACCATCCGCAACATATTTGTAGAAAGTAAAATAGCTACATCCACAAGAAAAAATAAATAAAAAGCTTAAATCCAGTACCTTGTCAGTCGTCTGTAAAGAGACTTGTATAAAAGAATGATTGCTGCCTAAATACATAATATATATATATATATATATATATATATATATATATATATATATATATATATATATATATATATATATGACAAAAGGAAATTCAGAGCAGCATGAATCCATCCAGCTCTTATCTTAAATAACACTGTCTGACCGACACAAGGACTGACCAAAATTCATGTTAAAAAAAAAAAAAATGAAATCTACAGACAAAAGTTCATTTTCTCCATCAAGACATTCATTTCTGTAGTTCACTGCTACTAACAAGCAGAATTTTTTTTCTTCATGCTGGCCGAAACAAGTTGAGGAATCTAAATGAAATAATAACAAAAACAAAAGAATATTAATATACAACCCAGTGTGTCTGAAGATTTTAATTTTTTTTTTAATTTTTTATTGTTCAATATATTTATTGTTCAATATATATATATATATATATATATATATATATATATATATATATATATATATATAATGAGATTTATGGCATTATACACTTTAGATTCCCTCTTTCTGAATCAAGGAAAATATTTTGGGCAATATTTTTGTTAGAACTCCTTGACATTGAGCGCATTATTTTGAAAAGCGGTTGAACGAGATTTCTCATTTCCCTCTGGTCCCTCTGTGCTAATAAAAAAAAAACGGCCTGATTAGCTAAAAATGAGCTGTAGAGAAAGCATGCTTAGTTTTGCGTTGACAGATCTGGGTACATAACCTTCGTTAGTCAGTGACTATCTCCATGCACTGTGTTACAGATGTTACTTCAAAAACAGGTGTTCGGTGCTGTGCTGAAAAGTTCTCAGGCGAAATCAGAAGCAATTCCATAAATAAAGCAGATGTTTGTGCATTCGGAGAGATGAGCCGAACCGAGAATTTTGCATTTGCTCATTCGTACAAGAAGCGCGCCAAAAATAATCTCGTCCTTTTTGATGAATCTCTTTGCGTGTCTTTTAATATTTATTAATTTAGTAATCTATCTATCTATCTATCTATCTATCTATCTATCTTTTATCCACGTTTATTCTGTATTTTAAACCACCTTTTTTCGTATTTTTATCTATCCTTTTCTTTCTTTCTTTCATTTTTTCTTTCTCCTTTTTCTCCTTATATATATATATATATATATATTTTTCTTTCTTTCTTTCTTTTTTCTTTCTTTCTTTCTTTCTTTCTTTCTTTCTTTCTATTCCTATATCTATCCATCCTTTCTCTTTCTGTCATTCTTTCTTCATTTCTTCGTTTTCTCCTTATATCTATCCATTTTTTTCTTTCTTTCTTTCTTTTTACCCACATTTTTACGTATTTTATCCACCTTTTTCGTATTTTTATACATCTTTTCTTTATTTTCTTTCTTTCTTCTTTTTCTCCTTATATCTTTCTTTCTTTCTTTCTTTCTAACTTTCTTTCTTTCTTTCTAACTTTCTTTCTTTCTATCTTACTATTCTTATATCTATCCATCCTTTATCTTTCTGTCATTCTTTCTCCTTTTTCTCGCTTTCTAACTTTTCTCCCTATATCTATCCGTCTTTCTCTTTCTTTCTTTTTTACCCACGTTTTTTTCCGTATTCTATCCAACTTTTTCGTATTTTTATTCATCTTTTCTTTTTTCTACATTTTATCAGACCATACTTCTCTCTCTCTCTCTCTTTTCTATCACATTCGATTTTTATTTTTCTTCCTTTCTTTCGTTCTTTCTTTCTTTCTTTCTTTCTTTCTTTCTTTTTCTCCAATGTAGTTTTTGTATTTACATCTTCAGATATATTCTTTCAACAATTTCTAAATCTTTCTCTATATTTTGTATTCTATTTTATTCTGCAAAAAATAAGTTCTTTTCTCTCGTGTTCTTATTTATTTTCCTTTTTTTTATTTTCATTCCTTCTTTTGCTCTTTTGTTTTTTTTATTATTTCGTTTTATACTTTCCTTCATCTATTTTCGTTACCGTATTTTTAAAAACTCCCTCCCTCTTTTTCTTCTTTTTTCTTCGTTATTAATTTGTGTATTCTTTCTTTCTTCTCTTTCTTGCTCTTTATTTTCTAATTCTATATTGATTTCCTGGAGAATGTTCAAATTTCTTAAACCTAAAAAAAATGAGCTCTTTAAAATTCTTTAATAATAAGTTCTTCAAAATACAAAAGAGAATTAATGAAATAGCTCACAAGAATATATTCACGTTCATTTTTTTTATAATTTCACCCCAAGCAAGGCGATAAAGCCACTAAAACCTAAGAGATTACTGGGACTTAATGGATTTGAGAAAAAACATTACTGAGGACGATAAAAGAACAAGTTTCGTGGAGACGATTGAGGTTTCATTTAAAATTTTATAAATGACAGAAAGCAAGATGCTGGAAGAGAGTTCCACATGCGAGAAGTGCGAGAGAAGAAACTATTAATCGTACATACGCTTACAATATGCAATTTGAACAGTACTTTATGAGACCTATCTGCCAATCCAGTACTGCGCTTAAATTCGTGAAGTCGAAGCACCAATGTGAAAAGCTGATCAAAATAATTGCTATGAAAATTTATTTAAAATAAATTCAATTTTTAAAAAAATTAAATTCATTTAATTCTTTGTGCAAATATTTTTTTAAGTTGATTATCAGGCGTTCTGAGTAGATATCGTCCCATATCAAAAGTACTTCCAAATATTAAGTACGTTGAACATGATTTTTCATTTCCATCTACTCTCTTTGCTAATAAAACAAAGCTCTGATTAATTAAATATGAACTCTTCAGTGCTTCTGATTTGGGCTGATAGCTTTTCTGCAACACCTCGTATTGTTGCATAATATTCCAGATTTAATAAAATAATTAGCATAAAAAGATTTCAGATATGTCAACGAATCATAAAAATGTAACCAAAAATAAAGTGTAAAATAGAATTTGCAGACTTACTAAATAATGAGCTATTTAAAATTCTTTAATAATGAGTGCTTCAAAATACAAAAGTGAATTAATGAAATTGCTCACAAGAATATATTCACGTTCATTTTTTTATCATTTCACCCCAAGCAAGGTGATAAAGCCATAAAACGCAAGTGATTACTGGGATAAAGCATGAATGTAAAAAGATAATTTTCAATAACCTCTCTTGATCTGAGAACGTGTTTTAAAAAAATTAAAATAAGCTTTGACGCAGGTCACTGTCAGTCAAATAAAAAATAAAAGATTTTTTCCATATGTGTCGTCAAGTGACTCCATATTCACGTAAAGATATGTGAGGGTGATAGAAATCAAAATGCTCACCAACATTATAAAACAACATGGTAGCTTATCTCAGTTTATTTTCCTGTACTTTTTTCCCCAGTAAACTGTGAATAATGATAATTACTAAAATGTGTTATCTCTCTCATACACGTCTTTTGCTTTAAAAAATTTTAAACAGTCATACTATTCAACAGGAAAGACTAAATCCAAAGAAATCAACTTATACAAAACAATACAGAAAATGCAATATCTTCTTGTAAAATCCTAATAAATTTAAGTTTACATTTTACTACAATTATTGAACATTTACTTTCAGTATTAATTCTGTCATTTACTAATTACCAATATCAACCTCTCTGTTGATTTATGTTGACCATGTTCTCTAAGAATACAGCGCAGTACGTAATCTGTTCAATGAAACAACGTTAAAGATTAACACTCACCAGTAGCAGTTCCGTAATTCTTCAGTCTTCGATATCAGAGGTTTGCAGTGAATATTCGGAAAAAAAACATGGCCGCCTTTATACACGTCGCATTGAATATTCTGAGCCTTCTGATTAGTTAACCCTTCTATTGGTGAACTAGAAAATAAGTCAGCTCATTTTGGCTAGCTCACTAGTACAAACCTACCCCAAAATTCCAACAATTTATGTCTTAAATGTTCCTTTTTTAGAGTCTATGGGAAAGTGTGTTTATAAAGTATTCAAGAGAGTATAATCCCTCTTAGACGCAAGGTGCTACTAGAAATGAAAGAGAATGAAATTACTTTAGAAGGAACCGGAAAATCAATCCTAAACATGAAAAAATATAATTAATCAAATTTTAGTGTTCAGCTGGAGATATTAGAGGTATAGCGTTGAAATATACTTAAGTGGGAAGCGGAAAAGCAAACCTAAACAGAATACAAGAGATAAAACTCTAGTTCTCTCCAACAGACTGAAGAGGGTGTGAACTCGGAAATAGGCGAACCTATCTACTCCTATTTCATTTAAATACTTAACACGTTAAACTCACATTAAAAGTGAAAAAGAACAAAACGTTCATAAGTAACATCGGAATTTCTCTATTTATAAACAGCATCTTTAAATAGTGTTTATTTAGTATTGTTCACCCAATCGAAGGCCCAAGAGACACTCAATGAAGAGGGTTAGTGTGTGGAGTTGTATTAGCGTATGAAAGAGAAAGAAGTGAAGTTCTTGGCGCTATGCAGGACGGATAACATCCAATTCTCGACATGAAGATATAATTAGTGGATAACGTTAACTGAGACGTTAGAAGGATGGAGTAGATCTGAGAAGGAAACTCAATCCTAAACACGGATCAAAGGATAAACATCTACTCTTGTTCAAAAAGCTGGGGGAGATGTGCAAACCAGACGATAGATAATTAAGCAAATTAAGACATGATGCAGTTTCCGCGGTCTTGTGGGGAATATTTATTCTTCACTTGGTAACATATTTTCTACAAATGCAACGTTGCCTATTCCTAGCCTGTCGCTATTTTCATGCCAAATATCCTACTTGTTATTCTTATTGAATCTATTCTGCGATGCAATCCTCAGAACTAGAGCTTCAACCAGGAATTATTATTGGTCGACACAATCTTACCTACATAAACCGTCCTGGATATGACGATAAACTACATTTGCGTCCACGGTAAGACGATAAACTACGTCCAACAGCAAGGCCTCTGATCAGGAAGTTTTGAGGAGCATAGAACCACCTCTTAATTGCTGGTGTTCCTAGGTCCACCCTGACCTGGTTTGTTAGTACCTGTTAGGGTCCCATCTATGAGCAAATAGTTAACCCCCTAAACTGAGGTAAAAAGCATTAAGAAAGGGACAAAATAGGTTTTAATACCAGAGTAACCAAAAAAAAAAAAAAAAAAATTAGTACCAGAAATAATTTTTTGAAGGAAAACAAAAACTATTACTCGCAACATATTTTTGGAAAAGAAATATTACCAGCAATACATTTTTGAAAATAATATTACCAGCTATGGATTTTTGACAAAACAAAATATTACAGGAAAAAAAGTTGTTGGCATTGAGGTTGATATGCCGTAAACCAAACCAAATACCTGCATATAGTACGCAGATTTCACAGTGTCGATGACACAGAAAGAAATCTGCAGGAACTCTAAGACAAGTTAGTAAAGGAAAGCAGGAAGAAAGGACTAATCATCACTTGAAAGGAAAATTAATGTATGGTCTCAGCAAGAAATACAACAAAAAATGAGACTTCCGAAATGGAGGTGTACGAATGAAGTAAATACAAAATTTGAACTATTTCGAATCCCTCATATCCGGAATCCCTCATATCCGGAATCCCTCATATCCGGAATCCCTCATATCCGTAGTGCCTCGTAACCGGAATCCTGAATATCTGAAACATGATTTTGATGTGTATATTTGAACTATTTGGGTGATATGTAACTGATTTGAAATTCCCGTTTTTCAGGAAATTGACTTTCGATAACTGCTTATGATTATTTCACTCTAATGGCTTGTATTTGTGCAAAAGATGATGAGGAAAAGAACAACTTTGCAGTTATCGCAAAAAGTGGAAATTTTAAGCAGATTAGACGCTGGTGAAAATTCATTGTAACTTATGGCTAAGTTCAACATAGAAATGCCAACATTGTACGATATAAAATCTTCCAAAGAAACTATTCTCCAGCGTTCACACAGTCACAATGAACAAAGAAATAAAAACAAATCATGACTGTGATGAAACCTGGACTGAAACTGAAAAAGCTATTGAGAAGTTTGTCAGTTTTATGGAAAGAAAACCAGCATTCAGCTATGACGATTACAATAACGCACGCAGAGTTAAAAAGTTGAGAATGACATTAGATGAGAAAGGATCATCATGCAACAGCGATTAAAAAAGTCCTCCTTACATTACTTGTTTTACATACGTGGCATACTTGATTTAATAAATTTCAATTAATATTACATAATTTATTACTTTTTCCTTAAAACCACTTACGACATTTTCCACTCATTATTAGCTTATTTTTTTTAATATAAAACATTAAAAGTAAATGTTAAACCTGATTTCATTTTTTTTTTATTTTAATCTAAATATAACCCCTCATATCCGGACTTTGTAACCAATTCCTCATTTGTGCAAGGCCTTCTTAGTCCGGCAATTCTACTGTATCATAATACAGGCAATGGCAAATGTAACAAAAAAATATGACTTCCAAAAGCTAGACAAATAATTAAGAAAGAGAATAATTTCGTTAGAAAAGCGTGCTGATCAGCTATGTAATATCAATCATCCTGTATGGCAGCAGAATGTAAGCTTATTTTGGATAATTTCTATCCTCAGCAAATCTGAAATAGAAATCTCTTGTTCGCAATGAAAATACAATAATAAATTTAACAGAATCTTGTTGATCATTTTTAACGAGACATATTGTAACCAATATTGAATTGATAGACCATTTAACATCCATTGGATTAATTAAATATTGTAACAGCACCGTTCTATCTATTTAAATCTGGAATATTAAATAAG